AATAGTTCTAATATGTTGTCATAAATCTTGTTAATTTAATTTAATAGACTATAGTACACTCAATGGCGCCACGTTCCATGAAATAATAGGATCTTACACTGATTTAGCTAGTTATCCTATTTTAACTAACGCAACTAGTACAGCTGCGCTAATCTTGTTATAGAGTCAGTGCTTCAGTGTCTAAAAATATTACACATCGAACAAAAAAGGCCTTGAACTTCAAAAACACCATAGAAAAAATAAAAAAGTAAAAAATACAAAGACAACGAATTTGCAAGCCGATCTTGCATGCAAGCCGATTAATCAAGTTTCACCTCTCATCGCTTTTCTTTTTCCCTAACTTTTACTTTGCTAACAAGCAGATAGGCGATTAACAAAGACTACGCTTGTATGCATTTAAGTACCCCCCTATTGCACCCACCACCACCACCACCACCACGCCCTTCACCCAGTCCCTTTTCTTTGGCTGGTTAAGGCCAACACGACAGGGTTGGGTACCAATTCAACGGTTGCCTGGAGACAAACTCAAGGGGCAGTAACTCCAACATTTTGTTATGTCCCCGTAAGAGATCCCTTGGTCCCAGTAGTGATTCAATGAAGTCTCACAAGAGCCAGATAAGTGAAGTTCCTGTGCGAAGGGGCCTAAGAATTTTTGTTTAGGTCAAAGAACACTAGAGGGTCTTATCGTTTGCAGATGTCAAACAACGCGTGGCTCGGATGGCCAAGTAAAATGGCGGTCCCATCTCCAATACGAAACGTAAAAATAGAGCCCACAATTATTACTTTCGTGCTAAATACATTGACACTCAAAATAAAGTGCATTTGTTTTGTTTTTACTTACCATGACGTCCTTTTTCTTCATTCTTATACCAGTCTTGGCGATGAAAATATCATCCACGTCTATCTGTAGATATCTCTCAAGGGAAAACTCCATCGGACTAACAGCTGATAAATACTCCAAACTGTCCATGAAAAGCATTGTGTGCAGAAAGAAGGGAAATCCACCACCAAAAAAGACTTTTTTAATTCCATCTACTTGACCATCGTCCAAAATAACACAAGCATTTTCCGTTACTGCAATCTCCAACTCTCTTTTTTGTCGTTTTCTACGATTCACTGCGAATTCAACAGTTTCATAAGGAACTTGTTGAGGATCGTAGCGTATGAAGTTCCACCTCGTTCCTTGTCCTTTTGGAACATTTGGTTTAATCGCCGAACCTCCTCTGCGAGTAATCCGCAAAAGTTTCGGACTTTCATTAACTTCGACATCTAAGGTTTGTCTTTCTTTTTGAGGTTTTATTACCTCGATACGAAACTCCGGTATATAACCAACGTGATTAGAAATAAAATACAATATACCAGTCCTAAATTTCTTGCAGTAAAGTTTCACTACTTGCCGAACATTAGGTTTTAGGTCTATGTAAGTCTTGATGTCAACAAAGACAATAAGGGAATATCTCCCAACAACAACATTGGGCTTTATATCTTCACGTAGATCTAAAAACGGTTTATCTTCTACTTCACTCACCACATACGGAGCACGGAAACCATCTAAAAACCGCGTTACAAAGTGAGAAAGTTTTGAACGCTCTTTAGCCCATGATTTATGAACAAGCAATATTTTCTTCTGAACTTGAAACGTCCTGTTACCAAATTGAAGTGATGACAACGAATTTTCAATATGCAGTTCATTGATCGCAACTGGAAACGTTGTTTTCAAACCAGATTTTAAGAACTCTGTCGCCAGCACTTTGTCTGCAAAGCAACAAAAATTACATCAAGTATCTGCCTGTAATACGTTTACACTCATAATTCTTGCAAACTAATGATTTTTTATAATGAAAGTGTTTTACATGAAAGCCAGGCTAGCGTTAAAAGTTACAAATGGAGTAAGTATACAAAAATAATTAAGAAACTGTCGGGTGACAGCTCTCGCTTAAAAGTAAATATATGTTTATCGTGTTTCCAAAGAATCTGGGGTTCATTCCAAAGCCCTTAGAAAGGATATAAATTGATAATGTATTATAAAAAGAAAAAGGAAATTGAAAAATTGCCACTAGAAACCTTTAATTCTAGCAAAGAGATTAACCTGCTAGTTACTGTCATTAAATTACCATCGAGATTCTAAATTCTACATTTATCCTTGAAGCATCAATGTTTAAAAGCTCCCGCTCCCCAAGCATTTCGGCTTTACTTCAACACAATCACTTTTTAAAGAATGGCCAATTTTGGAACGGAATTTTTTAAGACTCCTTTACTCTCGTCCTTGTAACTTTTCCGACGTCAGAATTGGGGAAAGCCTATAATCAAGAGCATACGAGCAACTCCCTTGTGCCCCGCCCGGCAAGCAATGGCTAAGTATGGGAGTTGCGCGCGCCGAGTTATCGGCTCCTGTCAAAGAGTGATTCCCTTACATTTAAGTAATTCAAGATTTTAGAATTCTGGAGGTATGAAGATTCAATTTGAGGAAGGAATTTTGCTGGTGGTGAAACCTAAATGCTGAAACCTGGATGGGAACTTTCGCGGGAAAAAATTGTTAACGTAAAAAATAAACCCCGTTCCATCATCTATCCCTGTCCCCACGGATTTCGAGTAACCTCCCAATCCCCCCCCCACCCTCCCCTCCGGCTTTTTCCACCAATTTATTACAAATCCTGGTCATGTTATTTTACAGGAAAATGAAAAATAATACCGTCAGGAGTTAACATTTTAGGATTTTCTGGTCGTGTACGCTCCTGCCTTTATAACAAGCGCGCACAGAAGCTATCAAAAGCCGATGTCTTAGCACTTAAGTTACAGAAAATTTGAAGGCTTTTTTTCTGTGGGCATCTAGGCCCCACTGATTGTAGTTTTGTTTTCGTTGTGGCTGTATTTACCTGTAATCCGTTCTTTCCGGGTTTATTTCAATATCCAGTTATTGTTTTCGTTGGTAAAAAAGCATTGCTATTGTGGCCTGAATACTCGATAAACACTCTTTAAATTTTAACATAAGGTGCCCCATATGTGAACAATCAAAACATGAAAATAGCTTCAAAAGGAAAAACACAGGCAAAAAAACTTTTTTTAAGAATGCCACCGCATTATGATCAACGGTTCACTACAAGAAACGAAGCTGTTTTTATTAGATTTTACAACAGATACTTTACTGTGTCAGATCTGACCAAACATTGAACCGTATCGCTCTCCCTCATTAGAACCCACAAAACACAGATAAGATGATACAAAACTCCGGTGAGAGGGTTTTTTTGGCAGAAAAGGAAGGCTTCCGGAAAAAAAGAATGAATTATGTAAACATCTGTGATGTCAAACACTCCTTCTCAATCTGTGCAAAATTGCTAATTAACAAGTCTGCCAAAAGACGGAAACTCTCACTTCTTTTTAACTTCGACTTTTAACAGAAGAAGCACTACTGAAATCAGAAACTAAACTGTTCGATCCCCCTTTTTTTCAAAATTGGAAACTGAAAACTGTCGTTTTTTCGGTATCAACAAATACAAATAAAGTTACACGAGAGGAATTTTGTTGCCCAAACCACACTCTTCAGATTGCACAATACATAATCTAAAGAGTCAATGAAAGCCATTACCCATCCTACAGCACTTTGGACACATATATACTATTTCTTTCAAGGGCGTACACTGTACCACAATGCCTGAGAAATGAACAGAACATTCTACGGGTTTTCGTGACACACGCTTCCGGTATTTGGGTGGGCGATAAAAGAGAAAAACGGAAATACGTGAAAGGGTTTATTTTAGCACTTTCATATTTTATCCTTGTGTATAAACAATTGCTGTAAATTCGGCCCGTCGGCCGTGCAAACGATCTCTCACAGATTTTGGCGATCACATTAAATCATCTCAAAAGGAAATGAAATTAAAAGCTATACAGTAGGCCAGGGGGGGAGTACTCAACAAATGATTATACGGGGAGGCTCCGCCCCGAGGTCCAACCCCTTACCCTTTTATATACCATTTTTCACGAAAAAGGTACTCCTTTCGTATACGTTCTAATCACAAATGATAACCCTTTCATATACCTTGTTTAGAATTTTGCATCCCTTTTAACTGCTGTAAATGCATTGTCTTTAAATAAGAATCAGCCACAAAAATAGAACGTTTTCTTGACTTTATAAAACCATAAAATTCACCGTAGCCCTTTTGGGCCGTTTGGAAGACCCAAATGACAGATTTCCCAACCCTTTTAAATACTTCAACTAAATCCCCAACCTTTCATATACCTGAAGCCTGAGAAAGATACCCCTTTCGTGCGGAGCCTGCCCGTATAGGCAGTCATAGGAAGTACCCCCCGGGACAACAGGCCAGAAAGAAAACCCACTTCTAAGCTAGTCGAACACGCCATCGCAACTTTTCTGCGATTCCCCGTTCTTAATTTCTTGTATTTTGCTTTGAAATCTGCCATGTGTCACCAAAGTTCCCTGCAATTCAATCTTGGGCAAACAATGAAATCGACGTAGATGCGAGAATGAATGCATAGCCTTGAACAGTGCAACAGTCGTAGATGTATTTCAGAAAGACATAGCTTGTAACGCAAAAAAATTCGTTCATATCTAAAACATTAAGCAAGATTAGAATAAAAGAATCACTGTTTTAGTTTGTAAGATAAATAAGAGATTCCTGGTGTAATTTCACACAAAATAAGCATAAGGGCACAAAAGCTGATAGAATGTTCAGATTGGTCGCACAATAATTTGTTACGTAAATCAAGCCTAATTCACTGCCTTATGGGTGGAAAATGAAGGATGGTGAAATTCCATTGATTTATTTGTTTAAACCAATTACTCTGCGAGCTCAGATCTTTTAAGCAAGCTATTCCATGCCACCTAACCTCAGCTTGCGGACAATGCACATCTACATGGATTAAACTTCTCTTAGTTAAAAGTTTGGATTTCGGAAAGTGAGGTTTTTGGTTTTGCCTTGAGGTATTTTGTTTTTGCCGTGAGGTTTTTGGTTTTGCCGTGATGTTTTTGTTTTTGCCGTGAGGTTTTTGGTTTTGCCGTGACAGCTGTGGGCCACCATAATATTGAGCTGCACCTAAACTACTCTTTTCGACTTCGAACTGGAAAATATGGATTTCGTGTTGTCTTCATCGGCTAGAGGCCAAACTAAACGTTAACGTCCGTTAAGAAATAGAAAATGAAACTTCTTGCTAAAGAAACAGCTATTCTACAAGTCCGTTTTACAGTAAGATCGTGAAAGTACTTTTGAAACGCATAGCAGGCTATAAGTTTTATTGTATAGTTCAACACTGATTGCTAGTTATCCTTGTGTATGAGTAAAGAAACAGAAACAAAAACTATAAAATATTTGACTTCTTCGAATAACTTTTTATAAAGTTATTCAAATGAAACAGAGTATAAAGGTTCGTTGCTCATCCTGTAAATATCAGACACTCAACTATGGGTCTGTTTTAAGATAAATTCTAAAGAAATTACTTTTACCATATACCGGCCATAGAGGCTTATTTTTTTAAGGGGGCAATGTTAGAAACATACAGTTATCCACCAGTAACAAAACCAACACCGGCATAATAAGTCAAAGTTATAATCCTGGATTTTTCAGCAACAATGCGGTTATTCACATTCATTGTTTGACTTCTTTAGTTCAAATAAAAAAAAATACGCTGGAAATACTGTCCTACAATACTTTGATGCTTTCTCTAACGAGAATGTTACAACTGAAAAAACAAGGAAACGATTTTGTGGATTAAATCCCTTGATACTATACAAGTACTTCCTTGAAATCGGTATCCAACATTCGTTTTGACCAAGAAAAAATAAGCACTTTGCTAGACATACCCTTTGACACTACCAAACAAATCCTATTATTATGAAAGTAAAAGCTATTGCAAAGTACTTCTCTTTCCGTCTGAACACCTATTAATAGGCATTACAACAACAAATTACTTCAAATGGAGTCCACTATGAACCAAAGTCATTATTCAAATGAACTAGAGTTATTTTGCAGTAATTTCGTGCAGTGCGGTTTGTCTTTGGGACAAAAATATTACATTCCATATATGATAGATATCAGTTAAGTGGCCATTAGATAAAATATCACCATTTATCTCACGTTTGGCCTGATAGCAAGATTTCTTCCATTGTATAAGCTATATCATGAAACAAAAATATTATTTCTTCACAAAACTTAGAATTTTGGTTGAAAAGTGATGATGATTAGTCAACTACAATCCTCAAGCGCTAACCTCCACTGAGAGCGATAAAATAAATTAACAAAAGTTGGAATAGCGAACAGGATGAGATTGAACTCAACTATTGCCTAAAGGAAGACAGAGATTGGACAAAACTTTGAAATGATTTCTGTCATACTAAATCACTTCAATAAACCCATCTAGAAAATAAAAAATCCCCTGTTAACATAATGGAATTTACATACAGCAATAAAAAGCAAAAGGAACTGTTTTTTTTTGTAAATTTCTGACACTACAGTGATAAATGATATACACGGAAAGCTAAGGTATCGCTTTTGGTATCGTGGGTTACGAGTTTGCAAACCTTAATCTCTTTATCACAAAATACTAGTAATCAATCACCTACCGCAATTTTCTCGGCCGTTATTGGCTCTGAAAAAACAAAACATTTTTAGCCCAGCCCAGGGAAATTGCTGTTCTCGACTGGGGGTAACAATATTATTTCGACAAAAGAGTGAATTCAGCTGGGGCATGCAAAAAGCCATACACAAACAGATGTAAACTGCTAGATAAGAAAACCAATCCCATCTTAATGGGTTTTTCCAATGATTTCCAGCTATTATATATCTGCTCTCTCTTTCTTAACGAAAAAAAAGGTTCAAAAATTTTTACCTCGACATAGAAATGACTGAGTTTATTAAGGAATGTTTTGGCCGGCATACTTTCTAGCAGAGTTGTTTTCAAAACAAAGCAGATGTTTTCGGTATCATAATTTAAAAAAGAGCACATTCTCTAAAAAAACATATTACAAGATGAATGGCGGTATCCTTTTTGTTCTGAAATCGTAGGGTTTTCATTTAAAATCCATTTAACTTAAGTCGTTATTCGCTGTTTTTCGGCAGCCGTTGATAACGTGTACACGGAAAGAAAGCGACATTTTTAGAGCACTTCTGAATTTCAGATAAACCGGCTAAGGTTAAAAAATAAAACAAAAAAAAGTTACTCAAACCAAAGGACATATCTGCATTAGTTAATCATACAATATTTTCACAAACGTCTGCCTATAAACTTATCTCTTCCGCGCAAATTTTTGTCCATTCACGAGTATGTTCTGTAACACACGAAGCCGACACTTGTATTACCAGATGTTTTACAAATTAGTTACTCTCCCAAACTGATTACAGACACTTGAAAGTAACTGGTTTGCATTTATAAACTTCTTGAGACGAAGAAGAGTCATTGACACAGCCAAATACCTATCCGTATGCTGTAAAGTTCTCCTATCCCAATTAGTTACTCAACTTCATGCGACGTTTGTACCTCGAGTTGTGGTAAATTTCACAACACAGATCGATATCTTGTACATGAAAAGTTCTAGCCATACTTCGAAGCCAATAAAAACATATTTAAAACGGTCCAAGAGAAAAACAAAATCACTTAAATAGTGCTCTAACCAAGCATATATTTTTTCTTTTAAAAAAGCCTCAATCAGAGCAAAGGTTGTGAATGGATTTCAAGCGTGTAGACGCATCTAATTTCCCGTCATCTTCCTTCACAACTTTCAACAATAGCGACTCGTGGCCGCATAAAGAACACTAAATATGAAATAAAGATTACAAATCTCGACTAATCTTTCTCTACTGTAATGAAAATTAAGCTACTAAAGCACGACCTGAAAGCTTACAAATAAGACATTGCAAATAAGGGCTTATTGCGGTCAGCATCAATATTAGTAAAAATCTCTCCGGACACAAACAAACGAATATTATTCAGACATTTAGTAACTACTAGAATAAGAACATATATCTTAACACGACCACAATCACAGAGAATTCGGTCACCCGCAGATATTGTCTAAAAAGCAAGAGTTACTTTACAATGAAAGGATAAAGAATTCACAATTTTCCGCATGAATTTAGCCATAGGTTTGTGAAAGGTTTAGTCTTCATCGTAAAGATCAGGTCAGGTCAATTAACAAGTTCCTTTTCCTTTAGCTTTTTTACGTAAGAAGACCGCTCTCAAAGTGAGGTAAATGAACTGCGACGTTTTACATTTTCAGTGTTTGTATACAAGCATAGTTTGTATGGTTATGGAAACATTTGTTCGCTGCATGCCTGTGGAGTAGTTACTAGAGAGACACCAACACTTTGACAGCGACTTGCGAAAGGAAGACGCGCATGGTAGCACGAAATGTATAAGCTAAATACAAAAACTTACCGCTATTTTCATGGTCACTGTACAAAGACAAAGTGATAAAAATCGTAAGCCAGCCGACAGGAATAATGACTAAGCAGACTTTCCGTGAAAATCGTAATCTTCTTGCCCTTGTGAAGACTCGCATCGCATCGCTGCCTGCCCGCCGCTCACACACAACTGATTCACTGCTTTTCACCGAGATGTCCCGTAACGCCGAAGAAAAGATTCTGACATTGATTCACTCAGTTTAACTCCACCAGAATAGGTTGCAAGTTCTTACTCAAGTAACGCTCAGCCAGCGATTGCGCTCTGGTATCTTTCAGTAAACATTTGTTTTGGCTGTTGAAATAATCAACAGCTAAACTGCACTCATGCACTGAGGCTCTTACGACATTGGTATAAGAAATTGAATAGGCGCGGCGAAATAAAAGGCGAATGGCGTTATCTCTATGAAACATAACGCCATTGTCACGCAGTGCCTTTTTAGTGGCTAGCGCAAATCAGAGAACAAAAAGATATTAATCTTGTAATTTAATTAAGTGTACGTATTGTGGCACATGCTGTTAATTATGTAAAATGAACACATCATCTTGATTTTGACAGCTTTTTCCACAAGTGTGAGTTCGGATGTAAAGAGGATGCGAATGACACACAGCCAAAAAATTTAACTTCTCACTACTGTACTTGCTTCCGTTCTTGCTGAAACGGAAAGAGTGAAAGGTGATAAGTAAACTTGAAGTAGGCCACGTTCACAAGGAAAAATTCCGTTGCATCCGACATTTAGTTTTTTTTTATAGAGCCTCCTATCTACTCTTTGTTGTTTCAAAGGGTCATCGCCAGGCTTTTTCAGTTTTTTTCAATTTTCTCAGTATTAAAATTCCTTCCTATAGCCAGCAGCCGAAGCAATGGGAACAAAGGCCTTTTTATAGTTGTGTTTATATTGCAATGCCTTCTTCTTTTTAACTTTGCTCAAGTCCGTGAAAATTCTGCTTGAATCTTTTATCCCTCTCTTTACATATGATTTGGAATGAGAAATCTCATGTTAAAAGCCGTACTAATTTATTTTGACGTTTTCTCACGCCACATGTTAATTTTTCGAATTGTTTTTACGACACAATACCTTTGTTTGTTTAAGTTCTTTACTTAATAACCAAAAAGAAATTTTATCTTGTTAGCAAAGGTTAAGAAAAACCTTCCTTTTCAGCATTTGCTCAAAATTGCGCTTATTTGAAACTTGTACAGGCAAAAGCCTTCTGCAAGTCGACGGAAACTGAAAATATTGTGTTAACAATTATCAAATTAATTTCCCAAATCCAATTTTAAATAAGTTCTTTGGTGTATGATATAAGTGAAAAAGGATGTGGTTTCTTATAATGCTGTAACTTTGTTGGCAAATGTTTGAAATTCATAGACGAGCTCTTGCAGAGTGACAAGTACCCACAATCCTATTTTTATTCAAATAAAGATTTATTCGGCGCCACAAAACCCCTTATTTCTATTGCCAGGCTCCAGAGTGTCTAAAATGGAACAATGTTCGCCAATTTTAATTAGACGAAGAAATGGTACATTTACAAAACACCATGTATTTTAGCTTTTGTCTGTTTCATTTGATGATAGAAAGCTTAAAAAAATTCATCCGGCGAATGCAAACAGTCCAATAATCCGTGAAATTATCCATTAGCCGATGCATGCAGACTTTTAATAGAATTACTCTTGTTAACGTAACACTCTTTCTAGCTATGGACGTTTTTAAGTAGATTCATTAGTCTGGTCATTGTTTATTTTAAAATTATTCCAAATTTTCTTTCCTTTAATTTCCAGAGGCATGCGAGAGTGATTTTAGTTGAATCAAACTTCTTATTTTATACGTTTTTTTCTGTAAAATAGCTGCTGGCGTGTTCGAAGAAACAAATATTTAATTTGCCTAGAAATTTCTTAAGCTCGAGGCAGGAATAACGGTTCACTCATCTGAGATATTCGAAGTTTTTATACATATCTTATAAGTTAACTGCGATATTAGGAGGTTGTGTTTTTCACATTTTGTTACCAAGAAACTGTGACTTGAACAAAGATCTACGTAGGTCCTTCGAATTTTAGCATTACGACAAAAAATTCAGTATCACATGGAATTTTTTAATGAGTCCTGTTAGACATGTTACCATTCTCGTGCTCGGAATCCATCGTCAGGGTGGGTAACAGACGAAAAACCCACCGAAAAGACTGATTCCAACATTTCTTAGGGCAGCTCAAATTAAACCAATCACAAGGCTTTGAAACCATTTAGACACTTCTGACGTATTTGGACACATTTGGTTGCTGGGTGCACCCCTGGGTGCACTTGATTTTATTGGTTTCGCATCTTCATCGGGATGTTTTCACCAGTTTTCACCAGTTAAATGGATGAGACTTTTTCTTCTATGCTACCCTGAACAGTGTTTTGATCCCCCCCCCCTTTTTTTGCATGAGGCTGCTCAGTGTTTCTTCTGTCACAGTCTTTGCTGGAGTTCTTTTGGTGCATCAGCCGGGCGCAAGCCATTCACCTGGAGCCGGCATCAGGTGCATCATCACTAAGCACCTTCCTGAGGATTTGTGCAGATCTCAAAATGCTCTGAGAAATCTCTTTCACAGAAGCTCTCTCTGATACTTTCTTGATGTTTTCTACCATTCCCTTCTTTAGTTTACCAAGCGCACCAACAACTACAGGGATCACTTGGGAGTTTCATCTGCCACATTCTCTGTATTTCTAGTTCTAGTTTTTTGTACTTGCTTTCTTTTCGATTTCCTTCAGTGCGATGTTTCTATCCGGCGATGAAGTCTTGTCTATTCGCTATTATAGTTCTATCAGTATTGACTGGCATGTCCCACCTGCATCACAGTGTTGGTGAGGTCATACTAATCATGCGTGCAATTTTCAGGATGTGTGGAAATGAAAGTCAGCCAGGCCTACAATTAACTAGTCGAAAAGCTGGCTACGTTTCTGGCCAAATGGTTTCAGTAGAATAGTCACTCGCAATTTGAATGGGAACGAGCTCGCCCAGGGGAGCCGAAGAGCCGAGAGAGCGAACCACCTTACAAGACTCCATCAGTCACTCTGCAAGTGAAATAGGGAATTGGTTCTCCTTTTCAATTTGGTTCTTGGTTTTCTGATGCCTGGCAATGGCTTCTACTTCCTAGTATCTTTTAGTTGCTGTTGTTTTTTCACCGTCCGAGTGATAGTTGACATGATTGCTTTTGAAAGAGTCCTTCAAAATGCGTCCGCCATATCACATGCTATGACATGCCTGGATAATGGACGTTGTTATATTCCTTGACTTTCACTCAACTAAATAGGGACTGCCATTGGTTGATTCTTGGTCACGTGGCCTTGACTAAAATCAAATGTATCCTGATCGTGACACATGGAGTAATGTACCTCGCTCGGGCTACATTAGAGCACGTGATAAAGCATGGTAGAAAGTGGTGTTACTGAAGGCGGGAAAAATATTGCCAGGTTTCTTTTTCGTGAATGAACACAGCAACTTGAACACAAACACGAAGACTCAAGCTAAAACGCAACAATTTTTAAAGTCATCCCAGAAGGGAAACAGCAGCTAGTGGAGGAAAAAGATACAGATAATATCAGGAAAGTACTTGTAAATCATTCATTCAGTGGTTTTAAGAATTAAATTTGTGTTGTTATAAGCACCGAGTCGACTGTTTTGGTTCGCTTCGGTTATTCTTTTGTTGCTGTTGAAGTTAAAGTCTAGAAATATAACAAAACACTTAATGTCATGTCCCTCGGGAAACCAGTTAGTTTTGTTTTCCCTCGAGTCCTGGTGTTTCCCTCGACTTCGTCTCGGGAAACATCAGGACTATTGGGAAAACAAAACTAACTGTTTCCCTCGGGATCTGACATTGAGTGTATAATATTTCTGTAATGGGTGAGGCGCTGGTTTTCAAGAGCTTGAGGATTGTATTCTGGTCGGAGATAGGTTCGATTTCTCACGCGCACTCTCGAGTTCTGTCTTGCCTCCCCCGAGAAGAGACTTTTCAAGGGAGGAACGCTCATTTCACGAATAGCAGCTGGTAATTGAGCCTATAGGTCGGAGCGGCAGGTTTTAACAAGGGTAGCGCATTTGATTTCTAGTTAGTTTATGGTTTAGAGAGCTTGTTTATTATCTTTTAAGACTACTTTTGCCAGGGCCTTTTGAGTTATTAAGACGGAATCCATCAAGAAATTGAATAATTTCAATTTTCAGTGGACAAAAATCTTGTACCAGAATAATTTAAACAATATAACATTCTTTTTTACATTTTTTCAAGGGCTATAGATATATTTAGATATCTGTAATAACACCAAAGACTAATTCTCGTGAGAGCCCGAGAAAGTAAATATCACATTTCACAAGAATTGTGAAAACACGGCTAAAATTCTGAAATTACATGTGTAAGATGTCATTTTGTGAAATTTGACACTCCCATAAGAAATTTTCTCTATTGTTTAAATTATTCTGGTACAAGGTTTTTGTCCACTGAAAATTAAAATTACTCAGTTTTCTGATGGATTCCGTCTTAAAACTCTTTGCGCAGGTGTAATAGACCTCTTTCATAATGGCGGCATTTTGATATATTCTTTTATATGTATGATAATTAGCCTTTCTGACCTCGTTTGAAAGTAAAAACTATTTTGTATTTTGCACATGCTAACGAGGTCAGAAAGGCTAATTATCAAACCTATAAAAGAATATTTCAATAGGCCGCCATTATGAAAGAGGTCTATTAGACGTTTAAAATATCTTAGAAAATATGAAAGAGAGGCTTGTTAATAGACATGCTTGGCTCCAGGGACGCTCAGGCCGACCTAGGCCTCATCCCCAGAGTTTTTCCCTTCAAAGAGATTGGTGGGGAAAGCATTGGGGACGAGGTTGCGCTCGCGCGTGCGCACAACGCCTATTGTATCAGCTAGTGCCGAGAACAAGAGAATTCCAATAGCATCTCCATTACACGAAGTTTTGACTGCAATTTTTTAGCCATGAAAAGCGCCACAGTTATGGGCTCCACCCTTAAACCTTTAAAGACGGCAAGTAAGTAGGGAAAAAAAACACACTTTTCACCAAGTCCTCTGTTTTAGACTGGTTTTTCGGTTAATTAGCATGAAAATGGCTAAAAATGAGTTATGCAACAATAAGGGCATATTTTCCGACTAATCGGATGTAAAGGCAGCTTTTTTGTTTTTCGCGTATAAGCCAAAATTTGGACTTCTTTAATTGCGAATCTATTTCGATTTTCCTTTCTCGCTTTCTTTGACCTGCCTTGACTATAAAAAGTTTACATTCAGCAACAGAAAGCCCGTTTTCAAGTAACAAACAAAGAAACAAACAAAACGAGACAAAAAGTAGTTTAAGATGACTTGGTAAACGCCCGAAATAGGAGCAATTCTCCTAAACGCGTCTAGCCTGCGAGAGCGGACACCTGCTACGGCTCTTGCTTCACCCGCCGCATCTTACTCTGGTTATTGATCTGATTGGTCAATTATGTCGCGATGTTATTGGCTGACTGACAGACGACCAATAACATCGCGACATAATTGACCAATCAGATCAATACCATCAACTGACGTGATACAACTCACTTTGACTCTGAAGATGACTACCGCACAGGTTGTCGAAACGTCAGTCACTGTCAACAACAACAGTCCTTTTCAGGACTACGTTCACCCGGACGATCAAACTCAACCTTTTGATTACAATTTTGGCGCGCGATGACCGAACAGCCGCGGCCGTCGCTTTTTCTTGCCGACAAACAAAACTTTTGAAGGCATTTGTTTAGCTCTTGTGGGGAAATTTCTTAAAAATGAGTTGTGAATTCTTTTTGCATTTAAAATCATTCTGTAAAAAAGATTATTAAATTAAGTTTTAAGCTCATTTATGAACAAGTCAACTAAATAAATTTACGCAAGACTTAAGCTTAGTTTGCATTTGTAAACAAAAAACTTCTTCACCGGTTTCATCGATAAATTCAAGTGAAAAAGACAACGCTTTACCTGTTAAAACTTCCAAACCGAACTTCGTCACCTTCTTCGTATATTTCGTGAACAGCTTGCTTGATTATTTGTGGAATTTCTTTGTTTGTTACGGCAGCAAACCGGGAAGGCATTTTGCTCGCAACTTACGCGAGTTTGGCGTCGCTCGCTCGGAGGAACTGGAGGTGAATCAATGGATATTCACTGATTGAGTAGTGAATCAGAGCACACGAAAAACACTATCCACTGTTTTAGTATATACTAAAGAAGAATATCAGTCACCGACTGTTTTATTCTTACACATTTTGACGCCATAAACCTATCCAAGGTTGCCACTCATCAGAAAGTTAAAAATTCCCTGACTTTTCACTGACCTTTAAACAGTTTTTACTGACCTTTTATTAATGAGAAACAATCGATGTTTACATTCGCTTTAGCTTTTTTTGCAAGCCAGCGCTTTTTTTCTTTTCATTTTCAACCTCTTTCCGCTTTTCGCGGAAGAGGAAGAAGGAATTTGGAAGAAAGCTTTCACAATGACAACCACCGACCACAATTACATATGTCAGACGTTAAATGTCAAACTGATCGCTTTGCTTGCTTTGCAGCATACTTTTCATCTTTTCGGAAAGAAAACGCATTTCAAAGTCTTGAAGAAAACTTATGAACTATAAACGCGAAAACAGAATTCCCTGACTTTTCCCTGACCGTGGCAACCCTGCGGAGGGTATCATTGAGACACAGCAAAATAGAAGCTATTCGTTATTCAGACCGCAGGGCCAGGTATAACACGCGAGATTGAATCTACTTGATATATGTACTACAAAAACAAAACTTTATTTTTTCATTATATTTACAATGAGCTTAATGGTGTAACCACCTACTTTTCATCTCACTGGTGAGATCAAATAATTGTACATATTTAATACTCGGTGACTTCGTGCCCAGTGTATCACATAACTACGCTAGAAAGTCACCTTTACAACAACGCGATACAAAATATACAGACCCGGGAGCCCTCGTTCTGGGCTCTTGACAGATCACAATATTTCCCGGGGAAACAGTCCCGAGGGGGGCAGGGTTGGGGAACTCGCTAAATTGGCCTAAACGGGGACGTCCCGCTGAATTTCTAGGTCCAAGAAATACATCTTCACTGGGTGATTGTTTCTTTTAGGACGCTCTATAAAGAGGATATTACATGGCCGCGTGGAGATACGAAATTTCTCTTTTCAACACGAGATGAGAAATTTCGTATCTCCAAGCGGTCATGTATGTTCTATTTATTATATAAACACCAATGAACTACCAAACCATTTCACTTTAATAGTTTTTTGGTGTGAAAGACGCGATTTATAATGTAGCCATAGCAACGGTGATGTTTAACATGTGAAGATATCAAGTTTTCACGCGAAAGCTCACCTGGTATTTCACTGGTCCTTATATAATAAGTGGAGTTAACTAACTGGATACAGCTAGACCAAGTGACAAGGTGCTTGCACCCGAGTATACTTCTGTAAAGGACTCTTCGCAAAATTAAAATTTTAAATGACTCGCGGGTCAATCCGGCCGAAACACAAATATTTGAAAACAATGGTCTTAACAAACAGGATGTAAAAATGACAAGATTTCGTCTTAAACAGGCTCAGGGTTTGACTACCCCAGGGAACCGCCCCACACAAGCTTTAGCTTCATTTTTGAGGTTGTAAGTACACAGCACTAGAGCGAAGAAACCACTTTCAGCGCGCGTAAATCGAGTGTTATTCCTGCAATGTCCCATTAAGTTAGCATTGTGTCTTGTCATTCACGGTTTATGATCTTTATCAGTCTGCTTTTCAAATACCACGTGTATATGCTGTAGTTAATTTTTATCCCAGGTAAATTTTGTTTTCCTTTTGTTTTTGGGTATGGTAGTGTATGCTAATGAAGTTAAAACAAAAGAAAAATAAAAATTACCCGAGATAAAAAATTAACTACAACATCAACCTTGCTCCCAGGCTCTCTCTCCCCTCCGTAGGGACGAGTAGAAGAGAACTGAACCCTGGAAACGAGGTTGCTACTACATATAAATTTTTTCTACTTTCTCCTATTATACTCGATTCCCAAGAGTTCTAAGTTTCTCTAATTATTAGTATCTATTTGGCACATAACGTTCTTAAGGGTTTGAATAAACTGGGAGATTCCAACTGCCGTAGAAAAATAACCACCCAGTCAAACATCTGACAAAGCTCCATATACACACCTCTAACTTTTAACCCCGTACGTCATCTTAGTGACAAAATGTCTTTGTTACAAAGTGGATATTCTCCGTGCCATAGGAGATATCCACTATCATCCACCACCACTTCAGAATATATCTATTACCTGACCCAGAGTGTCAAATAATCTCGCTACTGTGAAACATAGTTTAAAGGCTTTATCATCAGACCCTTCACGGCCGTTCATATGCCATGTTAGCCTCCAATGCAGACGTTCTTTATGGGTTCAAGGAACGCGTGACCAACCCCTAAGAACGTCTGCGTGGGAAGCAAATGTCATGTTCACTCAAACTGCTTTGAACGCTGCGTTGATTTTCGTGTAGACGACAAGAGTCGGCAGAAAGAAGCAGATACAGAATCCACTTCCGTCGCCCTTAATTTCTGCAAACTAAATATCGTTATTTACCGTGTCTCGCGGCTTTAAATGATAGCTTATACTTCATTTACGCCTTTATTCTCATGTATGTATTACTAGTACCGCTGTTTGAGTGAACATGGCAAAAAGCTTAAGGCCTTGTTATTATACCTTTCTTCGAAGCACAAGGGAAAAGTAACTTCACAAATCTACCGTCACAGGGGTTGAAGGTTCCTACCAAAATAAATATAACTTTTTTTTCGACTAAAAGCTTAACAACTTCGTGTCCAGTGTGAAAATTTTCCCTTTCAGTTTTGGCCTCAGTAAAATCTCCCAGTATTTGAGTGCATCTGGCGCAATTCTTGTTCACAGCCAGCACATAATCTTTGTCGCCTATCAATTGGTATACATCGGCATTTTTCACAAACTGGCCGATCCGTGATAACACGCGCCGACACTGGTCGGAAATCGCGACTACTGTTTGCAACAGAATCGTCCGGCGAGTTGTGATGCCAACGAGGCTTGGATAACGACGAAGTTGAATAACTCTTGAGCTGTTCTCGCTGATGAAGTGAATTATAGGGAGGAGCAGGTACATAGTCATGAGGCCGCGGACCATAAGCACCGCGGTTTGAGTGAATATAATCTAACTCATCCACTGACCGCGCAGGGGACGGGGACCGATCTCGAGTTGACGAGTTCGTGCCAACCGCTGAATTTCCCGCGTAAAATACTTTGGGTCTGGGACGGACAGCAGTGATAGTTGGAGGACTTCGAGTGCCGTTGCTTCTATAGACTGTAGGGTTATACGAAGCAGTGGGTACAGTTCTAAAGTTTGATGAATTTGAAGGCGAAATATACACCGAACTCAACACCCGCCTCTGTTCCACCGGAGAAGGACGCGAGTGGCGATTTTCGGAAATCTTCGGCCTGTTGTCGCCAACAGAGATAACCGTCGTATATTCTTCGTTCGTTTTCGGTCTAGAAGAATTGAGATTAATGTTCTGTATCCTCGCAGCGATCTCGCTTTCACGGTCATAATGCACTGGGTTATAACACAGTGAATCCGGTTTAATCTGTTGTGAGCAAACCACTGATGCTACCCTACTGGGGCCGAGTTTGTCCTGTTGAGCTTTACTTACGTAATGACCACTTGAATACACAATGGGCTTGGCTTTAACTTTCAGAGGAAGAGTGGAGGCCACGTACTGTTCATCCCCGTAGTTTCGGTCTTGCCCTCCATTCTGTCTAGAACTACAGACGGGCACCTCAATAACTCTCTGCAATCCAACTTGAGGGGCTGGTTTCTCATTCACAAACCGATCTCTTCGCTGCAGTGATGTCTGTCAATAGAAAATGAATAAAGTAAATTTATTATATTCATACTAAAAAGCGTACATTTTCATAAGCAGATGATGAGTTCTAGCCAATCAGAATCGACAACGATGTTTTTTCACGTGTGAGAAAAATGATTCGTATAATCAAAAGCCACAGCGATACTTGAATTTCGCGCAAATTTTCCCGCTTTTTATAGGTGTCTGCGTCATCCTCGCGTCCCGAGTTGCTTCGCAGTAATTCAACAACTGCCCGTGAAATGGAATAAAATAGCTTCGTATATTTCATTGTAACTGAAGAAAACTGTAAACAACAATAGAAAGGGATACAGAAAAGTAAACGCGAGCGTTCTTTATTATTTTTTAACCCACAAACTGAACCCTATAGCCGAGGAACTAGCTAAGATGAAGTAAAAAATGAGTCGCTCAAGTAAGCGTGGGGCGAAGGTTAAGGCGTTCTCCCTGCGCTATTTCCCCTTTAGCTAGTTAATTCTTGATAATTTTTCTAGTGCCTCCCTGGTGATTTCTTTCTTTCCGTATATAAATTAAGTGACTGTTGTTGTTGTTGTACATACGTATTGTGGCGGGGGGACCTGCTGCTGAAATTGCTGCTGTTGCCTCATAATCATATGATCTCTTTGTCGTTGTTGATGAAGAACTTGTTCCTCTCTTTGCTTCGAAAGACTGTAAAAGAAACCAGTAGTATTCAAATACATGTATTACATTAGATTTTGGCAATCGGTTTCAAAACGAAAACCACGATGTGCTTTTGAACATGTTGGGCTCTGTGCCTGTCCTATATTGATTGAACCTCGAGTGTAACATAATTCTGCCTAAAGGCCAGATCTGAAAACGGGTACGGATTTTAGAGGTCTCGTCTGAAATCGGCTGTAGAAAATGACATTTTTTGGTCTGAAATAGGGTCAGGATTTGGAGAACCGGGCGGCACACCCCCATCAAGAATTCCCAGGAGTACCCCGCCACCCGGGAGTGGCCACTCTCAGGCCACTCTCAGACCAGCAAGTGGCCGCGAAATGGAGGTTGGTTATGGGCTCGTGCCTAAAACTTAAAAAAAAAACTACCATCAGATTAAAATGCTCATGAGGTGCGTACCTAACAGAAGTATTTCTGTTGTCATGGGGTGAATGGACAAAGAGTCGTAAGTTCCTGGCTCTGGCCATGCACGCATCCCTTTTCATGGAAGCGAAGTGCTTCGTGTTCATGTCTACACCTGTTTCTTCAGCAACACGCCTATATAGACCTGGAATAAATTCAAAGAGATTACTGATCACAAGTTTGAATGGTTATTTTAGCAAGTTTAATCAACTACGGTCTACCGATGTAATAGCGAGCTTAAGCAACCAGAACTCTGACGTCCCGGACCTTATGAATAGCAAGCGGAAGTTCGATGTCTGCTTGATGGACCGCTTTTGTCTCACACAACAAATCGGAATGCCTTTGTTTTTCAACACCCACCTTACGAATTTGTCGCGTCAGAGCACTGAACGATAGAAAATTTTCCGCTTGCCATTTTTTGACGTCCGGGAAGTCTACATTCTTGTTGCTTAAGGTCCTTAATGATTGTCACGTAGCCTGCGAGAAAGCTCCCTCTTGGGGATATCGTGAGAAGTCACGCACGAGTGGCAGGCGTAGCAAAGCCGCTTGGAAGTACTTTCTGTCGCGGCTACTTTCGTTCGCCACCCAAAATGGAGAGCTTTCTTACAGGCCAACTGTCATGTCAGAAGCTGAACTTTGAAAAAAATTTAAGTTTATTGACCGAGAACATTATTGGTCTGTACTCTGCTACTACATCCAGTAAGACAACGCCCGAAATTTTTTAAACAATAGAGAAATACACACAAATGAAGCCCGATAATTTGCCACTTTAGAAACGAGAAGAGAACTGGGGCCGACATGATGCGTCCCGCAATTGTCTCTGGGATTGTCACTGGAGTCGCGCCGATCAGCGATTGGCCAATTTTTTTCCTTGTCTCTAGTAACAGTCTCAAAAGTCTTTGCCAAAGTTAACTCGTCCCAGTTTCCTATTGGTTTCTAAAGCGGCGAAGTTATCAACAGTAACCACTCACTGGCTGCTTCGGTGCAGTAACTTAAAGCACGGACAAAGTCCTTGCTGGTTTCACACATCTCTGATTTTGCAAGATAGTTCTCGGCTTGTTGAAGGAGTATTTCAATGCGATCATTCGGATGAACTGCAAGAGTAATTACAAAAAATCCGAACGTTATCGGAGTAAAGAAACTCGACTGGGTGAACGGTCAAAGCCAGAGGGGGCGGGGAGGGGGGGGGGGGGGTTACCAATAAAAAAAAAACCCCCCGGGGGGAAAATTTGGTGCTTTACAGAGGGTCCCCAAAAGGATTTTTGGCAAACCCGGTTTTCCATTTTTTGAGCTCGGGGGGGACCGAAAGGCAAAACTGTGTACACCACTGCAAGGGGGGGGGGGGGGGGGGGGGGGGGGATCGCGGGAGGTAGGTGCCAAATATAACCCTCGGGATTACGGGATTGCAAGGAATTTTGAGTCGGGATTACGGGATTGAAGAACCCTATTGCGGACCCTCTAAACATTAAACTATAAATTTGACGTGGAGGGAGAACGAGCTGCTGCAAACCAACAACAAACTCAAACCACATAATATATAGATTTAGCCAAGGCTGAAAGCGAAGCTCTCGATAATATTTATAGTTTGTTCAAACAAAATATAAAATCGTGTAATGCTAAGCGGCGAAGGCATGCAACGCCGGAAAACAGTGAAAAACAACAATAGGTCTAATTAGAGAAAGCAACTTTGCACGTGCAGCACACATTTTTGTACATTTCTTTGCCGTTGTTTTGCACGACTACAACGTGAAACTTCCAGAAACTTCTTAGTTACACGTTTTATGGAGGAAATGTCATACGTGTTCCCGTTCACTTTTTTCCACTGCCACTCATTTTCACCTTGCATTTGTGCCGCTAGCATTTCTCATTTGACCGCCGCTACAAAATTTTTACGTTGTTCTTCCAACAAAAAAATGTCTCCTTTGTTTTTAATCTCTCGCTTTAAATCCCTGTCGCCCTTTTTCTTGTTGAGCTTCGCTGGCCTGCCGCCCATTTTCTCTTTTTCTCTGTCTTTCTTTTGCTCTATATTCCAAATTTGTGGACATGACAATTTATCTAAGCTTAATACTTTAGACAACACGTATACAGAAACTAATTCCGCTTTCCGTTTTCGTCTTTACTGACTCTTTTGTTGTCTCTGCTTTACAAGACGCCGGTGGCTATGTGATTTCCCGCCAAAATAACCTCGAGTTGCATTTGGGTTACCATACCTGTTGATTGAGTTATTTTACATTGGTATACCTGTGAGGCGGACGGACGGTCTCTAGGGCGGGCGGGCAGTGTACGGTCACGTGATTACCAAATTTTCTTACCGATGAAGCTCCGCTGGCGCGCGCAGCGCGAGAGCTCCGCTATTATATATGGCGTGGATGTCAGGTTTTAAACCCGGGCCACATTGGTGGGAGGCGGGTAATCTTAACACTGTGCCATCCCTGGTCTACCATTACTCCCCTGGAAATAAGCATTCAGAGTGTTCAAAAGAGTGGGGTATAAGAAGTCTTACCAGGGGGCCAGTTATCATATCTAGAATGCCGCCATGATTGATTGAAGTCAATAAGATCCTCATCACTTCCTCCATGATTGGTGTCAGTAGAACTAACAGATTCACCAGCTGATGACGGAGCAGAGCTTATTCCACTATCATGATTCACTGCTCCTACTTGGGCCGCATTCAGCGCTTTAGACTGTTCATAGAGTTTTAAGATCTCCATTTTAGCAGCTTCGTTCTTGGAGCTAGGAGGAAACAGGTGAAATAATAGTGTAGGCTTGTCTGATGTTGCACTGTAAGTGACACTTTGGCCGTCTATTTCTCGTATTTTTCGCTGCTTATTGCGGAGATTAACGAATTAACCGCTGCCAATATGTAACGCTACTCGAAATGCAGCGCTTGCTCGCAAATTACAATAGCCACTCACTAATTAACAAATTCCGCCACTTAACCTTGAACGCAAGGTACAGTAATATTATAGCCTCCCATGCAGACGTTCTTTCGGCTCGTCAGGCAATCCTCCGTTCGTGGGAAAGGAACGCGTGACGAATCCCTGAGAACGTCTGCGTAGGAGGCATCCTAGTATCTAGCGCGCGCGTATATATAGAAAAGCACTTACAGTTGAAATATACAGTCAGTATGCCAGATTGCATAAGTAGAACGCTGCTACTTGAAAATATTCAACCTGGTTTTTTAGTTCAGTGTAAAATTGGCGAAAATATTGGAAGGTTCCGTGTGACCAACATGTTCGGTCAAATTTTCGGTCGAAAATTCGTCCGCTACAGTGTGAACATAGCACGTGCCATGCACGTGCGAACATCGATGCATGTGCGTATATTTCAAACTTACGCACATACGTGTAGCAGGTTTCATAGCAAGTAATTGATAAAAAAATTAAGGAAGAGCACCAAACTAAACTGCCATGAGACAGATAACCTTACCTCAGATCTATAAGATCATGTTCCCCACTGGATTCACTGCCTGATCCAGTTGATGATCTTCGACTTGCTTTATGACTGTTCTTTTTTTTCCCCTGCTTCAAATGCGACACCGCCAGAGCAGGATTAACTACATTCATTATAGCATTTCCAATCCGCCTGAAGCTTGGCCGATGTTTTTCCTTCCTCTGACTGGTAGCACCAGAATCCGACGCATTACTGGGTGTGCGAAAGAGATGCTTGCTTGGTTCAGTTAGATCACTAGCGGAAAGGCTTTTCTTGGATTTCAACGACCGCTTCTCATCTTTCCCCTTGAATCGTAACCTTCCCTTTTTTGATCCAACAGGGCTCTTTTCACCATCGCTAACACCATCACCTGCCTCTCTGTCACTCAAAGCACGCTTACTAGAATGATGTGCATCTTTCTTACGTGTTATTCCATTGATGAGGATTGTCTCTTTAGGTGCTGACTCAGCACTTATTGGAGTGCCTGCAGGATTGGCGTATAGTAATAGCAGAGGTTGATAGTGACACAAACGACATTTTTCCATCATCACTGACCAGTTTGGACCAATCTGCAGGTTGTAAACAAAACGATAGTATCAGTCATATTTACCCCTTCAGCGCCGCATTTGGTAACCGGTCAAGTCGCCCGAAAGTCATCTCGCCCGAAGTCATATCGCCATGAACCAGCGTCATGTTGTCCGAAATACATAGTCATGTCGCCCGAAATCCTAAGTCATGTCGCCCGCAATTTCGGGCGACATGACTATAAATTTAGGGCGACATGACCCTGGCTTTGGGCGACATGACTTCGGGCGAAATGACTTTCTGGCGTCTTGACCGTAATTCCCGCATTTGAGGCGGGAAAAAATTAGTAAGCGCTTCATCAAGTAAACACATGACTGCCGTTGGTCAGCTTTTCGCGTAGCTAGGATGGCTACGTACAATGACGGTTCCGTCTCCATTAGGGGACGTAAAAGTAGTGTGCTCAGTTAGTACTTTCATGATAAGTACAGTGTATTAAACTGTTTTTTACGCAACTGGAGAGTATACAACATGTAAAAGTAACACTGACCATCACATCATTGCATGCACTGTAAGAAGACAGTTGCACTTGAATACGTTTTATTTTGTCCTGGCGAAAAAGTGATGGACCATTTTTTCTTTTATTAAACAAATGTTAAAAATGTCACGGTGTTTCTTTTAAGTATTTTCTTTTTTTATACATAGTGGTTTACTTGTAACAGAACTTCACTTCATCTGACTTTCTGTAATCATATCAGTTGTGATTAGAATTCTTTACAGCCTTACCTCTTTGACTCTGGCATCATCAAAATAAATCCACGTTCGAAGTTTGCTATGAAAGAAGAATGTTGAATAGTGTTTGCCATAGTACGTTACTATGCCAACTAGCTGTAATGAAGCGTCCTTAGCCCTCTCATCATAGACTTGATGATACAACTGTAACAAAAAACAAACTCAGGTTATATCCTCTATTAAAACAGGTGAATTAGCCATGAGAATAGTTGCATGGTAATGAAAATAATTTCATACAAGCTTTCACTTTGCAATTACAGTAATTTTGACTAAAATCCAAAAGAAGGCTAAATTTATTGTTTGATTTTCCCACATCTTTACCAAACAGATGATCATTTGCCTTTAAAAATAATTGATCAGGGACAGTCTGTCAACAACTAATGCTACTGCAATATTTAACTGTTATAACCGATCGTCAGTAGAATGCCATCCTAAAATGGATACAATTGGTTTTGGCCCCATTAAATCCTATATAAATTTCCTCACGTTTTAGGAGGAACCAACCACAAGAACTGTTTTTGCCAAGACATATTACTACAAAAAAAAAGCAAAATAACGGGCAGGAAAAAAGAATGGGGGCAGCGGACTCCTGGAGCACTTATAGATCGTCTTAACTAAACTTACCCCTTTTTCCTATAATGTATTCAAGAGGGAGCACTTTTTTGAAGACTTATAACCCAAACTAAGCAATATTTTCTGTGCAACCTATGGTTCCACTAAGAGCTGGGAGCAGGGATTTCATGGGAAACAAAGGGAAAATAGAATCAATGAACTTTCTACCTGTTCAATCCCCCCCCCCCCAACCCCAATTGCACATATTCGATACAACAGAACACCCCCCCTACTGGGCAAAAGCCAGGCCAAAGTTCAGGGCAAAGGAAAAGAAGATCCACAGCAGTTTTGTTTGGGACAGGGGCCTCGAATCCCATTTAATAACCTTTTTTCAAAATTTTAAACCCCAAACAAAAAAAATTTTTCGTGCAACCTTTGGGTCCCCAAAAGGGGGGGGAAGGGGATTTTTGGGGAAAAAAAGGAAAAAAAAAATCATATAATTTTTTCCCTTTTTAACCCCCCCCCCCCCCCCAACACCAATACTAATATTATGTATAACAGCAAGCACTCCATCATTGGGAAAAGTCACGTGAAAGTTGCAGACAAAAGAAGAAGTGAGTACAAGGGCTTTCTTATTGGAGAGGTTGCTTGCATGCTATCTTAGTGACAGCCCTGGCAACTTACAGTATAAGGGCAAAACGTTTTTAAAATGTCTAAAGTCTTACATCAGAAAGCTTGAGAGTTGTTCCAATGCATTGTAAAACATCTGCAATATGTTCAGCATCTGGTGATTCTGAATCCCAAATAAGGCCTACACTCACTACAAAAACAACAGAGAATGTGTATACATACTTTTGTTAATTATTATTGGCACAATCACAAACTTGTTGTTATAGGTGACAGCGATTATTTGATGCAACAGTGGATGCCTTTTCCTTTTCTACCTTTTTTTGTCACTAAAACTGTTATTCAACTTTTTATAATGCCACAATGTTACTGACTGATTCTAACATTGGCAAAATTTTATGTAAATTGTTGTAATTCTACTTTCTGAGTTTCCATAAAGACATACAAGGTAGCTATGACTTCAAGAGTATAGTAGGTGGACTATCCATACAGCACTTTGTTTCCCAATTTGCCTAGTAATTTAAAATAGATTAATATTAACTTCATGGATTATAAATAAGTGTTCACTCACCAATATCTGGACAGTTCAATAACAAACGCTGAACTTGGACTCTGTCCCTGCAGTCTGGACTCTAAAATGTAAGAGTTGTTAGTAACAAAAGCAAGAAACATCACCACCTGGAAGAAGGCCTTGTGCAAATTCTCCTAACCACAACCAAACAGAGGGAAATTTGCAAGGAAAATAAAGAAGTTTATCAAACGTTGCTTGGGGAATTTTAAAATCCCACAACCATTAAACTTAAAGGGCACTTTCCAAAAGACAGAAGTGGCTGGTCAAACAGATCATTTATTAGTGAAAATGAAATAATAGTTGCATACCATAAAAGTTTTCAGAGAGTTAACTATGTGTAAATAAAATAAGCTGATTCAACTTACTTGACATTCTCTGGTGTCTTGGCCTGCTCTTCTTAACAGAACTCCAAACTGATTCTCAATTGGCCGGGTATTGTCCCATCCTTTTAGACTCCTGGCTTTTGTGCTGTAATGAAAATAATTATAAGTGCAGTGTACATAATAATTCATTAACATATCAGCACTTAGTAACAAGCTAGGTAGGTACAGGTTATATTACGTGTCCACCTATGCTATTTAAACGGTGTATCACCCCTAACTTATACAAAGATGAAATAAAAGAAATAGAAAATGTGTTAAAAAAACATGCCACAGATTCTCTTCAATTTTAGATAAATCTCACTCTTCTTTCAGATTTTAAAATGTTTTTGCTAAAACAACTTTGGCCAAGGGCAAGGGAGAATTAAGGCATTCCACAGTGGCAACCCAAAGAGGCCAATTAGGTACTTTTTAATCAAGGATGGAGATTGAGCACTACCGTACTACAATTCATGCAAATTGTACCACAAAGTAACGCTGAAAGCATGTGAATTAATTTGTCAAGTTTCTCTAATTATGGGTGATAATCAATACCCAGATGAACAAAATCTACATTAGAGCACATGGGAATCATCATAACAACTAAATACTTTTATTGCAGGGAATATGAGGCAGTAATCTGTCTATACATTAGATTGACTCTAACCAAAATGGTGACTTAGCCGGTCATAATTATATCCTCTCAGGAAACAAAAAAAATATTTGCGACTCTGTCAAGTCTTGGTTTAAACAACTTACTAGTGACAACTATTGGGCAGACTGTACATACCACAGTGCAGAAGCAGATACATAGTGTACAAGCTGGAAAAAGGGAAGTGGCTCGGACTGTTCTCCACACTGGCATATTGTCTGTTATAAATAATATCAAAATAAGGCCAGTTGTTAACTCACTCAAAGTACATTAATTTGTACTTATGGTTCATTAAGTTAAAGGGGGTTCATTTGAATGGTCACACCATAAGATTTTGACACAACAGTTAAAACAACATTTTAAGCCATCCTTCACTCAGGTTGAATAAAAGGGTTTACCCTAGTTAGCATAAGTTCTAGGTTAACTACAAATAAAAAATAAATATTGATCACTGTATTTAACTAAGATTTGTTGATCATTGTATTTAACTTGCATAATTGGCCCCGGGAAAGTATTCAAGGTACCAACAAGTCACAAAACAATCCAAGTATTTTTTCAGCTTCAAGGTGCTTAGAAATCAGTTTTCAGCGTCCAAAGAAATTAGTGTCCGATAGTCCGGGGCTATTGGATTTTGCTATCGGGCTAGTAAATTCTGTTATTAACTTGCCCGATGGGCAAGAGAAGTTTTTTGAGGAATTCAAATTGCAGAAGAACTGTGAAATTAATCTGTTCATCAAAACATTTTTGGGGCTAGATGAAATGATGTTTGGGCTAGAATATGTCTGCTTCAGCTTGCCCGAATGGCAAGCTGTAAAAATGACTTTCTTTGCACCCTGGTTTTACAGCTTGGCCTTCAGGCAAGATGTAGCTGAAACCTTTCCAGACAAATATTTCAATAAAACCACTGCTTATTGAAATGGCCAGGACTTGCAATTTTTCTTTGTTCAGTATAAGTCACAGGATTCACCATAGCAATTTCTAACAAAACCACTGTTTTTCTTTGCCTGAGCAACTACCCATCTTTAATATTTATCATTCAGTTTGAGGATGACTTGCCTGGATTTTCACCCATTGGACAAGAAAGCTTTATAAGTTACTTGCCCAACAAGAAAATCTACTTGTCCCAGACTACCAGATAGGACTTTTCCAAGACCTACACACATAATACCTGTTCAATAATCTGCATGGCGAACTTCTGATGTGATATACAGTGCTTGGCAGTGCAAGCATCATCATGTTCATTTCTAGCAACAAGTGTATGCATGTGGCTCAGGATGTTTTCCTAGATTAAGTATAAGAAATAGAAGTAAGAACTAAGTGTTAACAAGAAAACGCATAGGAAAGGACCTTTTAAAAGGACCTTTTAAAGGACCTTTGTAAAAATGAAGATGCACTCTTGTGCTAATGAGGGAAAGGTAATCTAACCCCAGTTAGTAACATCTGTGAGGCAGCACCAATATGCTTGTTCTGGGCCACCAACAAACTCAACAAATTACTGAAAATGCATTTTGAATTTCTCTTTACAATAATTGGCTTTTGACAATGGCTATTTAACAGGCCAATCATAGTGTGTACTCAAATCCTGGTACACAGGTGGAGACCCACAACAAGAATTTCAGCACTGTTTCACATATGGACTTTAGCAGAAGTTTAGTTCCATCTGTGGCGCAGGCTACTTATTATGATAAGACTATTTGAGTGTATATAGTCTGGTGATACCTCTAAAAAGAGACTCACAGGAACGTCAAACTCACAAAACCATGAACACCTGAAATATTTTCCATGTCTGGATGCTGGACGATACACTGGGTCTCATGTTTGATGGATTCCAACCAATAAAAGAACAACATAAGAAATTACAGCAAAAATATTCTCTGTGACTTTTATTTGGACCATCTTAAAGGTCATCTTAACTTACAAAACACTCCGCAGCATCATCCATGTCTCCCAGCTGAAATCTATGTTGATTCTGTTGGAAAATCAGAAGCACATATTATATTACAGGAAAAGATGACCAAGAATTTGGCCCACACAAATTAAGATTGACTCAACATGCATTTAAATTTAGCAAAGTCAATTTTTATCGACTCTGTAAGACCAAGCATATTCAACTAAACAACTCCGAGATATCTGTGCTGGGGTAATCAAACAACAACAAAATAAGTTGCTATAATATTGGAGGTTCCCACACTAATTATTTCAGCATTTTACAACTGTATCTCTAATTAATGTCTTTTTGCGAAAATTTTTTATAGCTGTTTTACTCATAAGCAGGTGGTGGGACCCAAGTGTAATAACCATAACAGGAACATGTATAGGGCCAGGAGATAGAGGAAACAGAGAATCAACCTAGGTTAAAAAATTTTTTTACCTGAACTTAATTTGACCTCTAGCATACACACGGCTGTGCATTTATTGAGCTATCCATCCACGGTGGCTCTATAGGAATATTGTATATAGGGCAGCACACAAGGTATTTAAGTCCATGTACTTAAGCATTGCGCAGCTATATTCTGAGTTGATTGAATAAAACTTTCATAAGTGTAATTTAAAAGTGTAACTATTGTTTTTGAGTCTGAAATCAATAGCAAAACTTGTAAATTTTTAAAAGTTCTCTTTTAAATAATCGACACCTGATTTGTAACATTAACAAGTAAAATAAATGTCCCATAAAGGATTGGAATTATGTTAAAAATAATGCATTATTTAATCTAACCTTGAATGCAACTGCTAAAGCAACCCTCAATCCGTCTGGAGGAAGAGCATCATTACTGCTGTACTGAAACTGTTTGAATATGAAGTCCAGAGCACAAAATATACAGGACTGGCCCATGCAGTAGTGGCCTTTAATCTCTCTAAAGCTTCGTCTAAACACATCAAGATGCCAAAGTACCTAAAGCAAAATGCATTCATCATTGAATGAACGGCTTGGTTTAACACTATGCTGCAGGGCTGTCACAAAGATTTCAAAATGCCATATATATGTAACTGCTAGACAGGGAATGGACCATTTTTATTATATAAACACCAATGAAATACCAGGTGAGCTTTCTCGCGAAAACTTGATATCTTCACATTTGAAGATAACATGTGAAAATATCACCGTTGCTATGAATACATAGTAAATCGAGCCTTTCACACCAAAAAACTATTAATTAAAAGTGAAATGCTTTGGTTTTTCACTGGTGTTTATATAATAGATAGAACATTACATGGCTGCTTGGAGATACGAAATTTCTCTTCTCGTGTTGAAAAAATATTTCACTGCTATTTATTGTTTCAAAAAATGATAACATGCAAATTCCTAAAAATTTCCAACTCTTATGACATTAGTGGAATAATTATATGAAATGAATCATGTTTTTTGTGACAGTACCACTTCATGGTTTATTCTAGGAATTGGCCAGTCGTGCAATGAGAGTCAAATGCCCCACCCCCACCCCCTTCCGAAATTGCAGATAATTCACTCCTCATTCATGGCTTAACTTGGCACAACTGACGGTATTTACTATGATTTAAAATTGAATTCTTTATTTCAGATTATTTTTGGCGCTTATTTGCTTTAATACAACAATTTCTGTATATTTGCTGCCCCAAAAAGTTTGTGCAGCATTATTTTTCAATATCATATCCTATAACACACTCTTAAGGTTTCTTTTTAAGAAACAAATCCTATTGATTACAGCCACCTATTAGTATCAGTTTTAAAAGAAAACATAACCCATGTAATCTAAACCATATCATTACACTGATTAAGACTTGGACCTCTCAAACCTCTTTGTACTGCTTTTCAAGTGCGAAGTACTGTGGTATTTTAAGACTGAAAAAAGGTTGAATACGGTAGGACACAAGTTGTTCAAATAATGTTATTAATATGGGTTAACACTAAGGCCCCTATATACAAAAAACCTTCAATTTTCGAAGTTTTAGACAAGGCTAGGAATGATGCATTTTTACAATATAAACTGTATTTTTTTTATAATCAGACATATAACTAGTATGAATATAATTATATCTAACAAAAAAATCTAGCTTTTGAAATTCTTTTACATCACTCAAATTTCTAAACCATGCAGGGTAAGAATTCACATATTGGCCCCCATAATCTAATCTTAGCTCAGAAAGGGATTAAGTTTGAGTGGTTTAAAAATGCCAAATTATTCTTTTAATGCTACAGGGGTGAGATAGATTCCTTTCGTAGTATCGTTAACATTATAATATTCTAAATGCGAAGAATCTGAAATTGCTTAGTCCTACAATTTATTAATTGCAATAAATAAATTATAGAAACTGCACAAAACTCCAGTTAGATTGAGTTTCAGATAAGAAGGTAAGCTGACAGCAATGGAAAATTGTTCAGAATTTTTTCACATAATTTGTTGATGATCCGTGATCCGCATAAAACTGAACGGATGTGGTACTTAGCGGAAGGATTGTGAAAAAAATGTTCGACCATACACAAAATTATTAGACGCGATTTTAAGAGAGAAACTTTTAATATGCTCCAACCTTCTTGATATAAATAAATGTTTCCTGCAGAGATAAATCAAGTCTTGCACGGGCTGTGCAACTTAAGACATCAAGCCCATTGTGTTATGGCTCAATCACCTTCAGCACATAAGAAAGGATTTTAACGCATCGCTGAAACCTTTATGTAATGAAAAAAAGGCAATCTAATTGCGCATTCCTTAGGACATTCATGCCCACACGAATTCGTTCGATCAAATTGTGATCGATGTGCCAATGAAATTGTTTTAATTTATAACATTTGGAGTTCCCAGAAATCGACGAGATAATGACTCACAACCAAAAGATATTACTACTCCAAGATGAACGAATGAGAGTTTACTACCAAAACCGCTAAATCAATACACGGGCGAGAGATACATAAACTAACGCACGAAACCCAAAAGAAGGCGACAAATTTAGAACTTCTAATTTGGATAACCAGTGACCAGTGGTTTCAGCTTTATTATTTCCTACTGTGAGAATATCTAGCGGTTATTTCTGCTCTTTTAAAAAGCTTCTAACGCGACAGAAATAACGCTAAATGTTATTACGTTTCTCTAGAAGGTATTGTTATCTTGCAATAAAACATAACACATTTTAATGAGCATCAGTTTCCACGCTCGAGAATAAACTTGTACGTTCGGTACCGATGAAGAAACAATAAAACTTAATTTTTCACCAAAATATCAATAGGGGAAGTAAAGTTTGCTCTGGAAACAAGGTAACTTGCTTACCTGAACGGCAGAATTGAGGAAACAATTATTTTCACCCGGATTGTTGATCAAACCTTTGTTGTATGCCATAGAAGCTGTTCTTTCCAATCGCTCTTGTCGGTCCATTTTGTCCATTTTTCCGTACTCGAGAATATATTTACCACCTTTTCTTTTCACAAACGATTTTCCTCTACGTACGTACACCGAACATTTCTCTCGAAATGTTTGTAAACTGACATCAATTGCGGGGTCAGAACCTTCACTTCTCAAATCTCAAGAAGGAATCTCCAAAAACGAATTTTACATCGCTGACGATGCATCGATTCTTTCTACTATCTAAGGAACATTTAACATCTTCCAGATAGCTCCTTTTAAACACTGATATCTCCACAAAGTCTCTCCAACGCTAAAATTACTGTAGTCATCACCAACTTGTCCGTCGCCATATTTGCGTGTTGTAGTATAGCACTGTGACGTCACGATAAATGAGAAACCCTGGAGAGAGAGTGTAACTTTGAGAGGGAAATTTGTCAAAGCCATAATAAAAGGGTGTAAAAACCTAACAAAAACGTTAAATAGTTCCGGTCCACTTCTCTTTTAACTGAAAATATCATAGAGCTACACAGAGTTTAAAGGCAAAATCTAAGTCTTCATGCAACATTTTCCTTCCATAAAATTTGAAACGCCGGAAAATAGCAAAGGTGGGTGGTGAAGACATTTCTGCGTTGCACAATATCATCGATATCGATCCCACGATTATTTTTAGGGAGTACGTGATACACGTAACCTAACGGCTTATCCGTTGGCGTATTAACCAGCACTTTTTTTAAAAAAAAAAAAAAATGCTATGTAAATTAATGTAAGCAGAAAGAAATCGAAAATTTTTTTCATGAAATAATGACTAAAAGCTTCGGCTTTACAACGGCTGCCTGTGAATGCATCGAAGTTTGTTTTAAAGAGAGTGCCAGTCGGAACATAATGATTTTTATGCGCATTTAACTTTTATTCCAATTCGTCATCAGTTTCCAACATAAGCTACTTTAACTGAATGGTATTTAATCCCAGGATATTTCGGTTCGCGAAGCCGTACAGTAGGTGATTTTAATAATAAGGACTACTACCTTTTGGTTGTGGCTGAGAATAAGTTTGAGTAGGAGCCGATATCGGCTCCTGATTTAATTTGAGTCATGCCCACACCACAAACCAAAGAAAAAGGAAAGCTGGTACCCTTTACGGGCAAGAAGGCTTTTATGCTCTCTTGTTATGGGTGAGAGGTCAGGGAGGAACATGTCTTTCTGTCAAATTTCCAAGCCGAAATTAGGCCTTGTTTGCTTGTACAAGGTCACGACAGTGTACTTGAGCAATCTACTACGTGCTCACATCGCTCAGGGTTGGAAAGCCCGTAAAGTGTTTGACAAAAGCACCCCCAGTGCGTGACAGGGAAACAGGAATTAATGCTCAGACTAATTGAATATGGTGTTTTCCTGTTTTGGATCAGGGAAAAGCTAGCTATTAACTGACTCAAACGGCTGGAAGTCAAGTGACAAAAATTACTGGGTGTTAAAAACCAAATTTCAAACTGTCTCTTCAGAGAGAATCAGTTATCGCTATGACGAAGTCTTCGGTGTCCCTAACAAGGGAGAGTACACATTGTAGCTTGCGAGCAAGTTCTACCCCAGTTTGGGAAAGTGGTGGACGCGCGAGAGACACGCGAGAGGATTCGCCGCTCTCTCGCGTGTTCTCGCGCAGCTCCCTTGGCTATTGGAGGGGGATATATGAACGGGTAACCTCAAATAAGATTTTATTGTATCATGTTCAAAAGTGTCGAAGCTTTGATCTTGGATGCAAACACGGGAAACACAAAACAACTTTCCGGGCGCGAAAAGTTACTGGGACTTTCGAGAAACGGGCCCCAGGGCTCAGTAGCCTGCGTAGCAGGCGTCGAAAGGGGTAGGGGTAGGGGATAGGGAGGAAGGGAAAACGGGGAGGGGGATTGGGGAGAGGCTAAGGCTAAGGGCTCAGTTGTTCGAGGGCCAGGAACGCAACCCGGGGTTAAATTTTAATCCGAGTTTCTTTTTCTTTTGTTCAAAAGCATTTTCTCGGATTTTTCTCAAAAGCATTTTCTTTGCCTATTCATTTTATAGCACCCAGTCACCAAATTGAAGACAACAAGAATGAAACTGAATTTGCGTTTTAAAGTTTTATACAAAATTCGAACTATATCACTCCCTGGGTAATCACAACCCAGTTTTGAACAACCCGGCCCAGATCAAGGAGGTAATCTGGTCTGGTTAAGACTCTATTTGAGACCAAATAAGATCACTATTGTCACAGTTGGCCCAAACAAACTGGTCCTTGACCGTTTAGTTGTGCTGTTTGAATTTAAAGGAAATGTATGGGAGCAGAGGCAGGGGCAGCGTTTCCTCCTGAATCCGTTGAAAACAATTTTTAGGCCATCCAGAGTTCTTATAGATATCTCATGCACCACCCCCCTAAGCGGCGCTACAAGATTTGTACTTGTTCGGTCATCCTAGGGGAACTTGAGTCTTCTGGAAATTACAAGGGCTTCAGCTACCTGTAACCGACATCAAAGCACGAATGAGTCGCCTTCTAGTTTTAAGAATGGGATCTTAGATATTTACTCTCGCAGTATTCTATCTTATATCCTCCCAGCCAGTGGGGTATAGGGTGATACTTATATGTCCAGGAAACACTGTTTAAACGCAGAGGTCCACGCAGCGTGTAAATAAAACTGACTCGTTCCTTTTGCCGGATCTCTAATTAAAGAGATGCTATCAGGGGCACCCAACGAGAATATAGTTCAAGCTGACCACTTAAACATGGCATTGTTGAACGTATTTTAGTATTTAAACGGTAGATATAGGCATATTTTTATCGCCTAAAAATTTTCATCTGTTCGGATTTCAAGTCCTAGCTGAAAGTCTAGTGATCCGAAAAGGGATTACCTAACTTACCTTTTCGAAAATTTCTGCCAGAAAAAAGGCTCCCGAAAATTCTAGGTGACCTGTTTAGGGTAAAAAGCCGTCAAAAATAGGCAATTATATATACCATTTTGTAGACGTTCGAAAATCCTAGGAGAGGTAGGCAAGCAAGAAATTTTACTACAAATGTTCCGAAAATTCTAGATCTCAAATCGTCTTCCGAACAGATATTTTCCGAAAATTGACGTTGGGTGCCCCTGATGCTGTAGCCAGACGTCACTTGATGTGTAAAATGAAACAAAACTGAATGCAAGCTATAGGATGGCACTACCGACCTATAATAAATCAGTCCCGCCGTACGTAGTACCAGCCTTGCATTCAGTTTTGTTTCACTTATGTGTCTGTTTATGGGGAGACGGTAAAGGGTGGTTAAACCTGGGAGGGTTTCTGTTATTCATGGTATTCCATTTGGTTCTTCGCGCAAGATATCAGCTGGGACATTGTCCTGTCTCGTGCTCCAGTTGCAACATTTATTTTATTTTATTTTATTTTTCTTTATCTAACGTATTTTATATTTTTTATTTACGTATTAATGATTACATGCAACGAATCCAGTAAAAGTAAAATTAAAGTTAAAGTATTTATAATTACATTTTCCAAAAGGGCTAGATAGCAGCAACAACATAGATAGTCGTATAAACATAGACTACGAGTAGTCCCCCATTTTTCCTCAGGGATAGTAGGGCGAGCGAAACGCGAGCGCGCGTGAAAATCACCCCACGCGAGAAAAGGCGACACGTCGCCTTTTCTAACAACTTTCTTTAATTTTCCAGACATGTTTCGACGGTACATCCGTCATCTTCAGTGTTACATATTTTGAAATCGCCGTTGAATTTAAAGCGCGCGCGATCTTACAAAGTTCGTTACATTGCGTTGTCAATGCGTACTAATTACATTTTCCCGAAAATTTTTGATGCAATTTAATTTAACGTATTACGAAGTGAGAATTTTTCCTGATTTCTTTTTCTATCACATTTTTAAAATATTTTAATGTTTAAGAAAAGAGGAACCATAACCGCTTCTAGAAGATTTGACAAATTGTCAGCCCCCGCCCCCCCTCCCCTCCCCCCCCCGCCCGCTGCCCGGCGGAGGTTTTCTGACAAATTCCCCACAACCGGGACGGACAGGATAACAAACTGCCCGACAAATACCCTTATGCAAATGCCCGGGAGGGGAGGGCACGCTTGAAACTGACTAAGCCATTAAGGTGTTGTCAAGAATACTGTCTTTAAACCCACAGTTTGGTTGCTTTTGGAAAACGTTTTCCACCCTGAACTCCCTAAAATCGGGAATCTGCACCCCAATTCTTTTTGACGTCACAAAGGAAGTGTTTGTGTATTAATGCATTAATTTAATTAATACAAGAATTTTAATAATTAAACTTCACTCTGATTGGCTAGACTCTGTTTACTAAATTTCGCGTCTATCCCGCGGTGACGCGGAATTATCGTCCGCGTTCGATCACTGTCAGCCGGGCCAGATATCTGTAGTTGTGTCTACACTTGTGTAGCAGCATCTTGAAGAAATTTTCTTATTCTTTACCGAAGACCATGCCTCGCAAAGCTATGAAAGTCATAGTTGAATTGGATATTCATACAGTAAGGATTTATCGTGGTTTTCAAAGTAATTTCAGCGACATTTTTGTTCGTTGCTAACGACGCTAGACGAATGCAAGAGATCGCAATGCTTCGATCGAATTCTGTGGTGACCTGATTCATAATCTTTCTACTTTCTTTTATCTTATAGGTTACATGTCCTGGTACTTTTTTACGGGACTATGGTTATGTTTATCTCAAAGTTAACTGCATGGGTTTAGAAGTAAACACAAAATCTGTAGCTCCAACTTTTCCATTGTTCTTTCACGAACGCTTACGTTTCGAAAGGGTAAGCTATGTATAACAGCTGATATTTTTATCCGGGAGTTCTTTTTTAGTTTTCATTATCAACGAAGGTTTTCTTTCTTTATTTTTAAGGTTTTTAAGAGCTGTCAAGATCCTGCTTATGTCACCGTTCATCTAAAAGGTAGCTTTTAAAATTGTGTCTTGTTGGTGTGTGTACTGTAATTTGATCGAAGCATTCCGCCATATTTGTTAGTGTAGCGCCATGCACAGATAAAGAATTTAGCTTACCGAAAACTACGTTTATTTTCACAAATAGGTGAAGATGTGTTGGTAGAGTTAAGGCAGCATGATGACTATATTTCAGGTATGTAGACAATTATTTTTAAGCTTTCAAATTCTGCCTCCATTCAGTTTTGATTTCACATGCTTTAAGTAATTCAAGCCAAGAATTTCTCTCAGTTGTGTACGGCAAAAATATGTGAAAAATATGTTTACATTATTACTGTACCTAAATTATTCAAAATGCTATTCCTACTAAACTAAAGTGTGTTACATTTTTTCCTGAAAAACTGTTCTCAACGCCAATATATGCAGCACGAAGTAAGCTTAGAAATTATGGGAAATTTTGGTCACGCGTTTGACGCGCTCTCAGTGTGTGCACGAAGAGCACAGGAATTTATCGTTTTTGGTTATGGCCCCTGCAGCTAAGAAGTTTTTAACCTTGCTAAAAGTAATTTCAATGCAAACTTTAATTACTTATTGTCTGAATGAAAACCGCAAAACCTGTTTTATTGTTTTGAATGAGTTCACAGCAACCGGTGAAAAATCCCAAAAGGTCGAAAATCACTCGAGCCCGATGAAGAATTTCTGTTTGAGTTGCTAAAAATTTTTCTTATAGAATAACTGAAAATTTCCTCCCCTTGTTGTCAGATGTCGTTTGCATGAGGATAGTAAGTTGTAATATCAATGAAAGTTATTGTTTTGGTTTGGATGATTCAAAGTATTAGTGTAATATAAATTATTTCTTTGTTCCTTCGGTTGACCGAACACATCCATATACATTTCGTATTTTTAAAGAGTTATTTGTTGAAGATGAAAGGGATTTTCAAGAAGCTTTTGACGTGTTGTTCCTTTTTTCTTGTTTTGCTATGTCCCTTCCGTTTGTTTGAAACAAATAAGGTTGAATAATGCTGCGATCGAGTGATCAAAATTTGATGAAGAGTTAAAACAACAGATATACTGTACTGTACAGAAAGATGTTTGAATAATTAGTTGTACATATACACGTATTGCGCAATACTTAATACTGACAGTTTCTGATAAAATAAATAAGATAATATAATGCTAACCAAAAGACAGAGATGGATCACAGGATAACAGTTATTGTCACCTAACATTCACATGCATAAACATTCAAATGATTGCCTGTTTAGAGTTGAAGCTTTTGAGGCTATCTTGGTGTGTACAGTGGGAAATATCATGTGACATATTCCATTCCTTTAAAAAGATATCAAGATAGCATCAAAAGCTTGAGCAAAATAAGCATTTTTAATATATTTTTATGTTAATTCTGTTAGTTGTAAAAATTATCCTTCCCTTGTGGGCATGTCAATGAGCGACGAAAATTATATATATTCTGTCATTCCGAATTAATGTTTGCTTGTGAAACAAACTAAGAATTTGTCATTGATACTACAGACTACTTAGAACATTTTGAACACTAAGAATTCTAAACACAGTAGAATTAATGTGCATTGTTAAAAGGTTGGATATTTTAAGGTTCATTTCATATGTTGCATGCATGCATACAGTTTACACAAACATTATTTTTTGTTTAGATGGGTATGTTATAGGTCACTATGCCAACAATGCAAGAGATTTCTTGTACCCAGCAGTTCCACCCTATCCAGGCTCTGGCCGGGAGCTGACGCTGTTCAAAACATCCCTTTTCAACCCAATTAGGATTACAGTAAGTATAAAGCAATTTTGACGGGAAGTCTAAGACAGCAAAGCTTTATAAAAGCCTCAAAGGCCTCGATCCCTATTTCATTGTAAGATATGAGGCATACAGGAACATCAACAAACAACAACTCTGCATATATCTCACTCTTTTTTGTACATTTCCTTGCCGTTGTTGCACAAATACAATGTGAAAATTCCTAATTTCATGTTTCAATTTTCTTTTTTGCACTTGTATATAGTCCTTGAGGATCTAACTCCAGAAAAATTCACCACCATTTGGCAAATTAAATGAGATGGAACAACATGGATGAAGTTAATTGCAATACTGAGAAAATTTGCTTTTTTAGTGATGTTTTCATTGCCTGTGGTTGCCATCGAAGTTCTAGTTATAACATGTACATGCATTTATTTAGCAACCATGACAGGGACAGCAATAAGAACATCAAAAAAGCCATTATATTGTTAATAGGTTTAATTTTAATCAATTAGTAAAGCAGTAATTTGTATGTTCGTCACACTTTAAATAATGTCTTTCATCACTGTCAGCTGCAGTTTATTTAAAAATTCTTTATGCATTATTTTATGGAAAATGTCAACATACAACAACCTTGATAATGTTTAGACTACGAGTAGTCCCCCATTTTTTCTCAGGGATAGTAAGGCGAGCGAAACACAAGCGCGCATGAAAATCACCCCACGCGAGAAAAGGCGACACGCGGTGGGGAGGAGCGTGCGCTCACGTTTCGCTCGCCTTACTATCCCTGAGAAAAAATGGGGTACTACTCGTAGTCTAGATAATGTTTGTCTTTTTGAACTTGGACGCATTGGAAATGGTGGAAAAACTGTTATTTTGTTTGCATGTGTATAACAAAAATTTTTTTTATTAGAAGTGAGGGTTTCATTGCTCAAGCTCCCTAAATTAAATTCATTTACAACCACTGGGATACCGGACTGTGGGGTTCTTCATTGCATGGGACAAATAAGCCAATAAATTATCCAAAGAAAACTATAGCTTGGGAGGTGTAGCAAAAGGTCAGTTTTGAATTATTAAAACTCATACTTGGCACTGACGCTGACAGGTATTAAAAAAAAGAGAAAATGTATGATTCAGCGATTATATTGACATTTCATTTCTTTTGTTTTATTCCCCTCAATCTCAGAGCCAAGTAAGAATTTTAATAATCCATAAATGACCTGTTTGAAGGGAGCTCTCAATCAACAAAATATGATAGTATAATGTAATGATTATTTTAGGTGTTCATTTACCTGCAGCAACTTTTTTTGTTACTTCTACGATAGGGTCAACCATTAAGACTTGAGTTTTCTACTAAAACCACCATCAAAGAAGTACCAGACGCCATTGACTATGCATCTTCGGTAAGACTGCCATCTTACAGTAAAAGATATGCAATTTTTTGGCACTTAGTGACGTACACAAGGTTGCCTCAGATTTTGCACAACTGTAAAGACTGGTCTCTAGTTTTCAAATGATTTTTATATGCATAATTGTTACTAATACACTTGGAAAATTTTTTCTACAATATACCGTAAAATTCTGAAAACAAGCCCTGGGGATTATAAAATTTTTTCAAAGTCCCTTTTTGAGGGGCTTATTTTTGGAGGGGCTTATGTATGGAGGGAAATTTGTGTTTCAAAATTGATTGGGCTATTGTATTGGGAAGGAAATTTACCATTTTTGCTTTGTTTTACTTTGTATTCGAGGGCAAATTCCAAGTACAAGCCCCCCGGGGGGCTTTTATTCAGAGGGGCGATTTAATGGAGGGTTTCTTTCATTGCGATTTTGGGGAGCTTATATTTGGAAGGGCTTTTATCTGGAAATTTACAGTATTATTAGTACCATGCTATGGTAAAATTTCAATTCAAAATTATACTGCCAGCTTATGTTAATTCTGTCCTTTTAATTGAGCACTAAACTTTAATCCTCAATTACACCTCAATTACTTTAATCGAAAAGCTCTTTGGCAGGGCCTCTTAAAGATCCTCTCTCTTTGTTTACATCCAAGTATTAATTTTTTATGTACAATCATTGCAGTAAAGCACCTGTTCTTGACCTTTTTCCAGTTTACACTCAGTATGATATATTTTTGTATAAAACAAGATGGTTGCATCTCTGTTCTGTCTCCTGCCTAAAAGGTGGCCACACTTAGTATAGAGCATTAATGGTTAGGGAGCTGCACTGTCACCACACTGTCTTGATTTGAAGGGCATTGACCGGCGACACGTACTTTACATAAATTTTGTCTCCTTGAGTCCTCTAACAGCACTGTACTTCTCATTCAATATTTTCTCTACATCACTCTGCTGTTTAAGGCTATATTTAAGAGGAATATATTTTACGAAATGATTTGGCTTAATAGACTACCGTTGAAGACTGTATTCAGTTGTAGGTAGCGCAGTTAGGAAACATTTTCCAAGAGGAAGCTGTCCAATCAATTATTTCACCATGCAAGCTAATTGTAAGGGGAGAAATTAATTGACAATTTCTATAAACATTTGGACAGATATCTTGGAGCTCTCAGCTTATTTTTAGAAAAAGTTTAACCCACTAAAGCTGGCGCTATTAATTTCAGGACTCTGGTGTTGACGATGTCTTAACAAACAGTACATTTAATGCCAGTCGCCGGTCAATCAGTCCCTCAGGTTCTAAACGCATAACACGCTCTCCCTCCCCATCACGCCGCAAACTTACCAGCACGCCTAGAGCTGATGATACACTTGTCAATCATGAGAAACCTTTTCTTGTGCGCCACAAGGAAGAGAGATTGTTGGAAAATCGTGACTTTACTTCTTTTACTCGTCCAAAGCCTCGACGATCAAGGTCCAAGTCACCCACCAGGAGACCACGATCAACTTCCCCATCCCATCTTGGAATGTCCAGTGTGCAGCCATTGCCAGGTTGGTGAAAATTCCCACATCCGTACTTCATCAATCTTAACCACAATCAATCTTGCACCACAGCAAGAAATTAATTTCTAGTTAAGTCCATCTTCGAAATAGTGCTGAAATCCTTATTCTGGGCCCCTACCTGTGTACCAGGTTTTGATTATGCGCCATGATTGGCCTGTTAAAAGAGCATTAATTTATCAATTTGCCAATCAGGTCAAAGAGAAATGCAACACTTCTGGCAATTCATTGAATCCGTTGGGGTTCCAGAACGAGAATATCGGCACTGCTTTGAAGATGTTACTAACCAGGGTTATCAGCGATGCAGGCCAAACCTGGTCCCACACTTTCGGGATAAATCCCAAATGAAAAAGGATGTTCATTGGAAAGTTTAAGTTATACCCCCTAGGCACGGTTCAGGCATGATCATTTTTACGGTAAACACCTGCTAAAATGTGTCAGATTACACTGAGATAAGCAAGACAATATTAAAATGATGATCTGAAGTTGAAATGGCCTCATGTCAATTTGATTCTAGCTGATGACTGAGTTGTCTGAGTTTATGCCAGTCTCACATAGAAATACCATACATTAATGGATATGTCGTGGTTTAATTTTATCCCTGGTTTAAATTTTATTTTCCTTTCTTTCAAGCCCATTATGATGCCCAAAAACAAAGGAAAGTGAATTTTTTTCAACCAAGGATCAGTTATTGAATCACAACAGGCCCCAACTGATCAAAGGTTGATAACACTTTCCACTGGAAAAATCTCTATCCAGTGGATAATGCTTTTGTTTTCCCAAATATTTATCTAGTGGATATATAGCGCTTAATCCATCGCGTGAACGTCTGTGGCTTGATGTATAATTTTGGCGTAAGTTGTTTTCTACCCTGCAGCCTGCAGTCCTCAGTCTGCCTCTGATCATCTGATCATA